CAACTCAGAGGCCAAAAGTCATTGTTTCTTTGAGCGCTTTCGCTGTCGCTACTTTTTCGAACTCGTAAAAGCCAAAGACAAACACATCGCTTGTGGAACAAGCCTTAAGTAAAAAAGTTCTGATGTCAAACAATACAGCTTTTGTTCTCAATGCAATACTGACTCATTTGTTAGCAATCTATGTTGGACATCAATTCTTAACTCAGAAACTTTAAAAATTGTTTCTAAAATTATTTCATTTTAGTCCCATGTAATTAAAAATTTTGACCTTTTTATAACAGATACTCAAAGTGTACATGTATAGGGATAAATATATTTACATACATTTAGTTTTGTGGGGGATGCCTATATGGGTAGAAGGATAGAAGGATATTATGTATATCAGCATCAATAGCCGAGTCGATTCATCCGTCCCGATATAAGCCTAGAACTCAAAGATTATACCAGCTAAATCTAAAAAATGTTATGTGCTGACTCCTGTAAAATCACACTGCTAAAAGTATATTTCAAACTTTTGCTCCACCATATCAGGAAATGAGAATCTATGGCAAATATAAGAATTGCAGAACCATTTTATGACCTTATATGTACATATACTTATTGTCGAATCTGGATCATATTGGATCATTCCAAGCCAATTTAAGTGGCAATGTGTGTGCCTACTCCTTCTCTCTCCCAAAACTATAGTGCCAAAAATGGAATCAGAAAATATTTGAATAATTTGAATAAATTAGGTAGTTGAGTGCAAAAGGAATAACAAAGTGCTATTATTAACGAACATTAAGATATCTAGATTTCGTTTCTGATAAAGGGAGAGCAAAATCAATTCGTCCCTTGTTCGAACATCGATGGCAGAAGACAGAAAGACAGAGAAAGAGGAAAAAAACAACACTGACGCTCACGTGTAATTGCATATAAAATATATGTTGAAGGTTCTATTTCTGATCTTCGTTCGGCAAACAACTCTTTTGAGTTCAAAATTTTCAGTAACTTTTTTATACTTTGTATTTGTGCGAATAACGGTTGTATGTAACGCACAGAAGGAAACGTTTCCGACCCCATTAAGTATATATGTATATTCTGCAGCATCAATAGCCGACTCGATTGAGCCATGTCTGTCTGTCCGTCCGTCCTGATGAGCGCCTAGTAATCAGAGAACATAAAAGATAGAGCCACCAAATTTTGAATCCAGACTTCTGTATGCTCACACTGTTACAAGTCTATTTCAAAAATGAGCCAAGCCCCTTTCCGCCTCCGCAAAAGGGCGAAAATCTCCCAAACCTAAAGTTTTGAAGATAAAAGAAAACTAAAAACGCCATTATAGCCACAATGAAGAAATTAATTTCCAGTGGCTAAACCTACCCCATCCCGCAGCTTATTTTTGTTTTTGCACATTCTCTCATTCACACTCTGCCTCTGCCTCTGCCGCGTCTCTGCCCTGACTCTGCAGTGTGCGGCTCTAGTCTCTGAGAACTAGCCGACAAACAAGACGGGCGGACGGAGAGACAGACATTGCTCTATCGACTCGGCTATTGATGCTGATCAAGAATATATATACTTTATGAGGTCGGAAACGTTTCCTTCCAACCGTTATTCGCACAAATACAATATACCCTATTTACTCTTCGAGTACCAGGTATAAAAAAGGTTAGATAAATCTACACATGTAATATTAAATACATATGTATATTAACTGAGTTATTAAATAGTATAAAGGTGGACCCGCAGTCACTGATTCCCGTAAATATTACTCATTTCCCATCCCGCTACTACTATCCCTCTCATACTTACTATAGATACAATACTGTATTTATATGTATGAATATATTCAGACGGTCAGGCATACCAGCTCTCATTTCTACTTCAAGCGAAGACTCATTTGCATAACTCTGATAACCGAAACAGGCCCAAGAAAAGTTATGCGTAGACAGAAACAGAGACAAGTGGATCTGTCTGTCTCTGAACATTAATTGAACAACATCCTTGATCTGGTTGTAGTCATCATTTGAAGATAAACATATCTATGTATACTTCAAACTCTAGATGGTTTAAGCATTGGCTTCTTCTTCGTTCAGCAAAAACAGGAAGCAACATTGTAAGTTTTTAGCTAAGTTAACCCAATGAGTATATTGGGCTTGTCTTGCTAAATTGTCAGAGGTGAATTTGCGCTTAAGTCTGGAATCTCTTGATTCACCAAACTACAAAACTCCCTTCTCTTGGAGCATCTTTGTATGCAATGATTTTATCCACGATTAAAAGCTTTCCTGTGTGGTTTAGCAGTCAAAATTAAAATACACTTTGGTTTGCCAGGGTATGCAGACTGCGTCTCTCTGAACCTGGGCCGCCTTTCTTGTTTTATTTTATTGATTTCTTGTATTCGCATTCACCTGCTGTTATTTTAAGTGTGTTTATTTTTGCGTCGACGGGAAAAAACAGCATCAACATCGACAATACAACTAGTTTTCCATGCTGCATTCCGGTCGACTGTCGTCTCATGTCGTCCCGGCAGATCGGATCGACTCTGTTCGTGGCGTCGCAATTCGGACTTATCTATATAACCCAAAACACGTTTTTCGCTTCATTTTCTCAATAGACTGACAAATGCAAGCTCCAAGCTCTTTCACATACGGTGTACATGTATGTGTGTGCATACATACGTATGTTTGTTAGCAAAATGCAAGTGTATGTATTACATATGTATGAAGTAGTACACATGTGCGGATATTTATGCACAGTGCGTAACAAAACCAGGCTGGCTCCAGTGCAGTCGACTTATCACTGAAATGTTCGACTCTATATTAACCATTTTAGGGTTAAATACTTACGTCCGACGAAAATCTGTTATCCCATCTACTCTACTCGTAGTTGAAAAGTTGCATGCATTCGCCTAAAATATATATAAAACCGTACCACTGACCTATACCCGAACATGTTCCGCGAAAACAGTGATTGAGAAATAGTTAACTCTGTCTTAAAACCAAATAAATTTACGGTTTTCTTTGAAATCCAAATTTCCGCGAGTATATTTCTGCGACACTAAAATGCGTCAGTAAGTAAATTCAGCAAAATTATAACATTCATTTTCTAGTTCCTTGCGTATGCTGCCAGGTTTTCCGGTTGGCTAGTTTTACCAGAGCAGCTTGGAAGAACTGGATACAAAACCTGTCATTCTGCCTCGCAACGAACTCTTCAAGTTGCGCCTAATGATAGTGCGTGCAATCGTATGAGTGCTGCAGTAATTTGGGATCTGCATACGGAATTTTGCCTTTGAAGAAATGAAGTTTCTAGATACAGGCTGTAAAGATAACATTTATAATCCTAATAGTATGACTAATATAATATCACTTTATAAACATATACCTCAAACACTCGGAGCAAATTTATAGCAGAAAGAAAATCTTCTCAGAAATATAAAACCAGTAATATATACTAAAATGTGCCACATGTATATCATTCGCCTCTTAGTTCTTTACAGTGCCGCATCCAGTTTCATTGTTGCTATGCTAGAATTAGTCCCACATTCCTTGATTGAAATAGTAATCGTGCATCTATGGACCGATAATAGCCCGATAATCATACACATATGTACATTTATTGAACATTTGGGTTGTGGGTTTGTGAGGGTTGTGTCCTAAATGAAAAGGTTCAAAAGGTTGCGTACAGCCTGTTGAATAGGATTAAAGCTAAATAAAATATACTTTGCGTCTCAAGTTTCTTTATAAACCACTTCAACTTTGGCAGTATTCAAATCTAATCTCTTCCTCTAAAAAAACAAGTATATGTGAATACAGCTGACTATTGTGTTCTTTCTTGTCACAGAGTCAGCTAGAATTTGAGATGTACCTGGGATACGCTCCCACATCACATGTCGAAGTATTTTCCGTGGCTAAGCAAGTTCTTTAAGACATTTTTAGATAGTATGGCCTCATATTCTCTTTGTTGTTGCATGCTGTGGATATGCTGCGAAGCGTGCAATTTCGAAGTCCATCGAGTATTTCTTCTTAAATATTTGCCTGTGTTATTGTTTCGCCTTTGAGTATCTCTTTGATGTAACCGTGGGCCTTATTATAAACGCTATGGATGCGATGCCTGTGCTTGCAGTCTCCAATCGCCAGAATTAATGGCGTTCCACGCTGACACCCCTGGTCAAACAAAGCCAACATACAATCGAAAAGCGGCAACAAAAACAAATAACTTGACAGATGTACCAATATTATTAAGCCTCTCCTTGAGCAACAGAACAGTTAAGACTACTAGCAGCATTAGCATCAATTGAACAACACGGGAATGAAGAGCAATGGGTTAGGAATTGACTTTGATCGCAAAGAGAGATCAAAGTGACAGCAAGTAAATTGTAAATTAGTATCATATCGTATCGATCTCAAACTCATGGTCCAATTATTACTATTATTACTACCCTCAAAACAGGAACGGAACTGAAAATAAGAACGATTACACCGTAAGTCACACAATGTCAGTGAACGAAGAATTCAAAAATCGTATTCAAATATTCGCAGTTTTCGTGAGATTGCAATTGCATGCACACACTGATATCTATGCATGTGTGCACATGTGTACATACATATGTATGTTTGTATGTATCTACAACAAACCAGTCTGAACCATCGAATACACGATCTGCAACTCCTTGGAGCCAGCTACTGATGAGATGTGTTGCCCCCTTTGCCACAAGTCTGAACAGCGCAAGCTTCAATTCCAGTTCCGATTCCAGCCCCAGCCATACCATCAAAGATCTTCTCGCGTGGCAAGTGCACCTGTCGCGACCAATGCTTGGGTGTAGCACCAGACCCAGACCCAGAGCAGGCAAGTCCAGACGAAGCCAGACCAGATTTTAACACTGCAGGTCCAATGCAATTAGCACGTTGTAAGAGTTCACAGAAGTAAACTGTTGCCGGCTTTAACTTTTAGGGTCTTCATTGTTAGATTGGAAGAAGCTAAAGGAGGGCGTGTTTAGCTTTATTTTAGGTATGGGTACTCACCTATGCCATCTACAACCTGAAGGGCAGACTTTGATAAATTATTGTGAAGAGTTTCCCTTCTTTGACTAGGATCGTTGCGTTATCATACCTACATATTCTTATAAGTACTTGCATCCACACATATAAATGTATACATAGTATGGCATGTACATATGTATTTTATGGCACTTTTGCATATTCACATCTGTATTGCGTCACATTTAACTCTCAGATATAAGTCTCAGCACGCATTGCAAATAAATAATACCACGATAGCCGTACCTAGAGGATATCAGGATATCGGGCATATTTACAACTTCTATCTGCTCCGAGATTGTCAGTTGTCAGTATAGTTAGCGACGACACCAATCATATTTTTGCACATGCTTATATATACAAATAAAATCAGAGCTTCGAATCACATCGGAGTGCGTATGCGCAGCAAATTATTTATTTTTTGCCTAGGTGAAAAGTTTAAATGTAGTTATGTAGTTGTACACGTTTATATCGAGGCTTTTAAACAATTCGCGATCCCTTCTATGCATTTTGATATTACACTACTCGTCGTTATTTATGTATTCAGAATTCAGTGTAGGTTGGCGATTTTTGAATTCAGAATTCAGCGCTTTCGCACGCGCGAATCCATAATACGCAAACCCAAACGACGACTGTAACGGTAATTGTGACAACGAGACAACGCGTGTTTAAAGTACCAAGTACCACCGTGGCAATGTTTGTCGCTGATTCCGAAGAGAGACTGCAACAGACTCATGTCTCTCTGAACGAAAACTGGTTCGCCTCGCCTTCGGTGGCGCGTGTTTTGTTGTTGAAGCATCAGATCAGTACTAATATTAAGTGGTTGTTGGCTCTCTCTCTCCTTACTGTAACGTGCTCTTAAACTAAGAGAAAATTGTTCCTATCCGTGGATTGGTTGGCATGAGACGAACCAATGGAATTTTATTTTTAACAGAGAGAGAGCAGTGTGTTAGATAAAGAGTCTGTTAGATGCATACTTATCTACTCTCACTGTTACTTAACTCACTGTCTCCGCTAGATTCACTTTAATAGAAAGCTTTCGATGTTTCTTTCTTTCAATGTACATATGTAGCTAATCAAAATCTTTGTTGACTCGATGGAAGCAACTCCAGAGGTTAATATTGGAAGTGGTGAGATATCTACTCTTCCTATTCCTATTGAACTTTTCCTGGATGTCCTGTGTGTACTGTAACGACCCTGTTTCGGGATGAGCGACGTATGTACATAATAGCACCATGAACATAATTTTTTTCTTTAGGGTAATTTTGTTAAAACAATGGTTCTAATGAAGGTTTTTAAAACTATTATATCAACTTTGAGGCTTAATTCAACTTATCCGAGAGAGATGGTATGCTTTGATGGCTTTTGTTGGAAATATTTGGAAGGAAAAGGAATTATTCCGGTATTTGGGCGGCTACAAATATAGCACAAATTTCATAAAAGCTAATAAAACTTCAAATTTAAAAAAAATTTCCAATTTTTCATTACTATAGTTTACTTTAATTGTATTCAAAGGTTAATAATTTGTTTTAAAGCTTTTGCCAGCAAAAAAAAAAAGGCTGAGAGTCCTGTCATAACATGTAACCTTACTTTTCGCGTCTTTCCTGGGGGATTTATATACACAAATCTGGCTGGACCCCCAAATGTCAAACTTTTTCTTTGATTTCGTATTAGAAACATATCCTTAAAACTGTTTCCCAAAGATTTTCCCCATGGTTCATACGTGAGGACTGAGCAAGAGAAAACATTATAGATAGATCTCTCTATCTGGTCTGTTTTGGGTAATTTCCCTGATGAAAAGACACAACTCAACGGCATTTTCTAATGCAGCATTATTGTTTTATTATATAATAACAAAGCCATGTTGATTCATCATCGATTTTAGCACTATATACTTAAAACCAGCTCTATAATACGAAAGTCATGCACATACCATGATTCTTGTCTCAAAATGATTATTAGATATGTGTCTAAGGGTTGTGTTTTTCAGTTGGTAGACGTTTTACATAAGATCTAAAGTTTCTGCATAAAAACAAAAATTTGGCTGCCTCCGGATCACAGGATCTGTATCCATATTTATTTGGACCAACTCCAGTGCTTTTCTACCTTGTATTTACTTTGTCCCATGGTGTCTTTGCTAAACTGGATTTTTTCTCAGACTTCGATAACTTAATTTATATTCTTTTAAGCAAAATCTAGCTTTGCTTATCTTCGGAAATTTTTTAAGATCCCTTTTGGGCTACCAGCATTTTCAACCGAAATGTGGATATTGCGCCAATTCTTTCACGAGTTCTTTGTTGGATACATGTTTTAAAGCAATACGAATCATTTTAGATGAGGAACCTACTATTTTCCTCACATACTGATAGCTTTCTTCTTTTGGAGTTAACGTTTAGTGCAACCAAAACAACCAATATTTTTTAACTGTTTACTAACGACTTAATCTACCGAATATTATATTAATTAAAAACATAATATGTTAAAAAGCTCGGAAAAGTAAAAGTTTATATAAAATAAAACTTTTTTTTTCCTATTTTTGTTGCCGTTCAATTTTGCTTCTTATTCGAAAAATTGTCTAAATTATTGAGAGCCGCCAGGAGCGGAGACATCTCAACCTACTTTATATTACTTCAAAGTTCAAAAATGTTGTATAGAACCCACTTTTTGAAACAATAAAGATTGTTGTACCACGCGGTGCTATTATTTTCGCAGCAACTGTAGGTGTGAAGCTCACTGTGCCCAAGTTTCATGACAGAATATTGTAGATATATGATATGTAATTATGGCAGGGCTCGGCACCCATACAACCCATTTGTGTGTGAAGACGCACGCAAAACGGAACGTTTCACTACATTGGTATTGGTACGAATCACTTCAATACGCGTATACGTGAGCGGCAGCGCAGCAGCGCCCTGTCCTATACCCTTTAGATAGGGCCGTGCCGAGCCCTGATTTATGTACATACATATATTGCAGCCGTGTGTGGCCCCTCTGTTCAGCCATCGATTAGTCCAGTAAGAACGCTACTCAATTAACTTATTTATTAATTTATTTATTTGCTACTCAAAAAATTCTGAAAGTGTCTTGATGTATGTACCCGTAGAACGATCATCCTTTCCGTGGATAGAGCAAGGATTTACTCAGCTTGAGTTAGTTATTATTTTTCCGCTTCATGCAACGGAACTTCAATTAGTAAATAACGGATATTGATATGTGTGTGAATAATAAAATAATTGATGAGAGCCGTCAAAATATTTACGCTTCGGACGATATTTTCTGAAAAAAGATTCAAATAGCAAATAAACAATTAGTTTAGCAAAAAAAATAAAAAATTGAATTGACTATTAAAATTAACGAGCTGTGAGACGCTTCTTACTCGTCACTACTTTTATACCCGGTACTCAGTCATCTGTACTAGAGTTGGGTTGCTGATTAGTGAGTGAACAAAAAATAGTTATTTTGTTCAGTTGCTCACTTGTTCACTTAGTTGCTCAGTTGCTCACTTGTTCACGAAGTATTTCAGTTGTTCGTTCACTATTGCAGTTGTTCAAAAACATAACAAAATAATAATCTTTCTTTATTATTTTCTCATAATAAAGGAATTATTCTGCATTATTTTCCTATAATGGGCGTCTTGCTACATATATTCATACATACATACAGTACATATGTACTTATTTCGAATATACCACGATGTACCTGGAACTAAAATTAATTACCCAAAATTACCTGGAAAAATTAACAAATTGGTGAAAAATTTAGCTCTAAAAAGAGTAAAACTGAGTGAGACACTGAACGACCAACTAAACATCACTTCTCACGCCAACACGTTTTTATACCCGGTACTCGAAGAGTAAAGAAAACGTTTCCGACCCCATAAAATATATATATTCATTCATGCATATATTCTTCCGTAGGGAACGACCATACCTATCAGACCACCGAATTGGGATCTGATTGGATAATTATTATAGCCAGAATGAAGAAATTAATTTCCAGTGGCAAAACCCACCCCCTCCCGCAGCTTTTATTTTTAGTTAAAAGAGTGTGTTGGCGTGAGAAGTGTTGTAGATGTAGATGACAGATGAAGAAAAAAATGTAAAATTCGACAAAAAACCGCTAAGGTACAGTTGTAATACTGAGTACCGACTATAAAAGATGTGACGCGTAAGAAGCGTCCCTTCTCGTTTGTTTTTTTATATACCAAAAGTTACCTATGTATCTCCAAATGCTTGGATATTGGACTACTACTTGCACTCTAACTCTTTATGGAAAGCACTTTCTGACATGGATTTAGGGAGGAGATTATGAAAATTATAAAAAAAGCTGGGCAAGGAAAAGCTTGGCGGGTCTTAAGTGCAATGAAACATGTACTTTTTATTCCAATAAATTTTTCCATGTTCATCAATATGTTGATGAATTATGAATTATTTCATCAATTGACAATGTTCTAATGAAAGTATATTATGTTGGGGGAAAAGTGAATTTTTCTCAATGTAAAATTCGTTAATATACTTTTGTACACTACAAAGCACAGCGTAAATTTGTAAAGTGTGGGTTGCGCCATCTGTGTATTTTCATATGAAGTAAGGTAAAATAATACAGTGCCATTTTAGTTCCCAAAAAATACACGATTTCTAGTAGCAGCTTTGGCCGTCCATCTAAAGAGCGCCACGGTGAAACCTTGCATTTAAAATGTATATTTACTTTCAGTTGAACGGTTCAGTTTCCGAACATTAATCCGAATCGTTCAATTTCAAATTGAATTCGAAACGTGCGGATCATGGTACCAAACGGTAAGCTAAAACCATAAAGGGTTTGGGAGCACTTTATAGCACTAAGAACTAGACCACTCAGTTTATTACAACCAGATGTAAGATACTTGAGATGTGTGAAAAAAGGAATCACTACCTCTAAACAAAAAAATGTAATAATAATACCAGATTTGAAAAATTGTCTAAAAAACAGTTCTACCATGAAAAAGAAAATGTTTATCAAAAAATTTCTAAGCTTCATATCTGTCATAAAAAGATACTCTGTTAGATGTTTGTAATGCCAAGACAGATTTACCATTTCGGTTGAAGTAAAACTAAAATTGGGAGTGCCCAAGTTATTTGTGGTGTGTAATCGCTTTCTACGCTTTTTCAAATTAATATCAGTTGATGACTGAAGGTCAAATTACAAATTTTTCCCATTTTAACTCAAATTAATAATATATATACATATGTACATAAATTTAAATTAAATTTTACGTGTATTTTTTATACCCGGTACTCGAATGTTTTTTTTTATTCTATATATTTACGTACAGTATTTGTACTCGAAAGTGGATGTACGTACATATGTACATA